TGTGTGTGTGTGGGTGTGTGTGTAAGGCAGGTGAAGCCTCAGGGACTGGAAACATACAGGGTTGATCTTAGCAGATGAGAAGGCCTGCAAGCTCTCTGCACAAGATTTGGCCCATTCTGCCCGGCGAGCTCTTCGTTGAAGCCCGAACCTAGATTTTGAAGTTTAAGTCTAGCAGCTCAGTAACGCCATGAATCGGCATGTTTTATGGAACTGGCGACTACTCTGACTGTTTGATGTGATAGTATTTCTCCACTGATATGTGTCGGCTCTTGGATGTTGTAACTGAGTAAAAGCTACACGAGGATCATCATGTGGACATGTCTCGGCTGACGCTCACACCGTCTGCTACTTTGCTCACAGACGATGAGATCAACGAGAACATCCAGATAACGAAGGACCTGTCAAGCTCATTCCTTTTGGCAGAAGGGGTTCTCGTAACTGGATGGACGGATATGGGCGGATGCGGTCCCCTGCGGCACTTCTTCCCCAGAGTTCGCATTTCTGCAAGTATCATGCAATCCACGGTCCAGCATAAGCGTCCCAAAGGTGCTGCGCCAGGGCAAAGGATGCAGAGGGCAGCCGAGTGCTCAAACCATTCCTCAACACCTTTATAGGACCTTTTCCTTCTGGTGATCCAGGATCGAGGCTTCGGCTTTGCAGCACAGCAACATGTTGATGCATGGCCACATCTTGAAACGAAGCACAAGAAGCAAAACGCAAAGCGGCGTAATCGCAGCTCCGTGTGAGGCGTGCAGGGTCTCATGGATGAGTTGGAGCTACCGCAAGAGCGAGCACGGCTCTTCGAGGCGGACCTCTTCCCGAGACCCGCGAGCTGGGAGGAATGCGGAGGGGTTGACTCATGCATAGCAGGCAGCAGGACCGCAGCAGGAGAGAGGTTTGCGGGAGAAGGGAAGCAGACAGTATATACCAACCCTAGCCCTGCCCGCAAAGATACCGGAAATGGTGAAGCTGGCAGAAAGAAGATGTTTTCCCAGACATGCAACTGATGATTTCAAGGTAAGGGGCCTGGACTTTAGTAAGCCATTGTCATAATCCTGCAATACGTGAGACTGAAGAGTTGTAACATGTCCAACCTCATCGAAGCTTTTTGCCAGATCTCCAACTTCTGCGGTGTTTTGTGGATAGCGTCTCGAGCTTGCTCGCCCCAAAAAAGTGCATGTGGAGTAGTTTAGTTGGAAACGATCTGCCCGGACAACCAGTTTTGGTAGCTTTCGGAGAAGAGACATTGGTCGGACATGTCGTCGGGGATTCAACATGACTCAACTGTGTGAAGTATGACACGAGGTGACCAATAATGCACATAGGACGGTTTGAGGCCGTGTAGTCACTCTACTCTTGAAACTGAGCTTGCTGGTGCTTCTCATGTTGTGCCCCTCTTTGAGGTGAAATGCGCTTCGGCACCTGACTGGTAGGGGTGTTCAGGACTCTTACAGGAATCCAAACGATCGGAATGTGTGAATTGTGCACGTCGCCGATGTGCATCGAATGGAGCAAACACAAGGGGAGCTGAGCCTTGCAATTCCAACAATGATTGCTTCGGAGGTCATCGATGCCGACGGTAGCGGCACACTCCATATTGCCGAGCTGGCGGGGGACCGCATGGAGTTTTCGGTCACATGTAGATTCACTTGGTGAGACCAGGTGTGGGATGCCTATCATGCGAAATGGCGCAGCCCATGAGCTTGCGGAATCATCAGGGATTTTGGAGCCCTTCACGTTGACCAGGGCTGCAGTCAAACCTATGCAGTCGGTGGTCTTCGCACTTGCGTCCAGGGAGCTGGCTCAGCATTGGACGGGGTTGTGCTTTCAGACACCCAGATCTTGGTCACCAAGACACAGAACGCGGTGCTGATAGAGCTGTGGCTGTCGTTACGCACGTACCTGTGCCTCGCAATGCGTCGCATAGCCAGTTCAATCTACAATGCATCACGTGCGGTGGACAAGCCACCATGTTATGGAACTGAGCCTTTAGATGCTTTCATTTGCCGACATGGTGTCATTTGTGAGGTCCATGGTTTGCTGAAGATCCGCGGCGAGGCCAACAAGAGCGATCTTGTAGCACCGCTGCACCTCGCCCATGTCGATGGAAGAATCCGTGGAGTGGTAACGATGGTGTCAAAGCTTCGGGCACCAAGAGGTGCGAGCCTTTCTGAGGCTGGCGACCCAGTCTGTCCAAAACATGGTCGCCGGCCTTCGAGATTCGACGAGCACCGCCTTGGAGGCCAAAAGACCAAAGCATAACCTCAAGAAAAAGTCCAAGCTTCAGCTCGGACCTGAGGCCATGCAGGCCGAAGTTCTTCGTCAGCTGCAGGAGCCCTGCTTTGTCTCACTCGGGTGTTGCTGCAGACTCCACGACCTCAGTTTTTGGGCAAGCTAGGACTACTTCATGAACTGAGTCGTCCCTGCTCAGCAAACAACACGTGGCCTTGACATTGCAGCGGAGCACCAGCAGGAGCTTCCACAGCGCATCTATCTGCAGAGTGCCTCCCATGGCACTTGTTCTTGTCCGAGGGTGCACACAGAGGTGCCGCTTCCTAATTCGGAAGCTTGTCTCCTGCTACAGTTTTGAGCTTTTGCCGGGTCATTACTTTACGTTTGAAACTCGGGTGTAAGACGTAAAAAAAACTAGCTGCTTGTGATTGAACCCAGCTTTCATTGCCTCGATCGGACACCGGCAACCTTGAACTGGAATCTGATACTGCGTCAGAAGCTTTGCAGAACATCAAACCGACAGTAAGTAAAGGGGAAATGCATGGACGCTTTGCAGGCTGCAAGATCGGCGATCTTGAGTCAACCACGAAGCCTGGGAGCCAAAGGGCATCTTGTGCTGCAATTTTGTCAGTCTCAAGCCTACTCTGAGCTTTCAGGAGTCCGGTCCTTCATGCAGTGTGGGATCCAGCACCAGGCATTCACCATACACTGTTTCTGCGACCTGTCCACATAGAGTCTATGGGGCATGCTAGGCGTGTAGGCATTTCACTCCTAGTCTATCCATAGTGCTTTCCTCAAAAAGCGACGGGCTTGGTCGGCATTGGACTCCTTCTGCTCCTCGAGTGCGCACGAGGTTGGACGTGAAGCCGCCACGACAGCCGCGAGTCGTTGAGAGAGAAGAGGAGCCCACTCCACACGAGCAAAGCTCCGCGGGGTAGGAGTTCCTTGGACACCGAGATTCGGCTTTCTACCGTGCCACGGGGCCCTAAGTCCGAGAAAGTCAAGCTGGTTGGAGCGAAGTTGGAGCCAGGATCAGAGCCCGAGGTTTTGGTCCTTGAAAGCCGCGCTGAAGATGGCTTCATCAGCTTGAAGCCAAAGGAATCTGTGTCTGCCATCGCATGGCCTCCAAAAGGGCCGCGGAGGGGGTTATCACCGCTCAGCAGAGCGCCTCCCACTCCGCACGCAACATTAGCTGAGTCTGAGCGCACAAGAAAATGCCAGGCTGGGGCTCAGAATCGCCGGCGGATGATAGTCATGATGTACGCACGTGTCGACGTTTGAGGACGACACTCTTGCCTAATTAGTAGAGCTGCACTTGGGACATGACTTTCGCCCAGTGGTCTGGGGCCGGTTCAGGGACTGGCCGCAAGTTCTCAGACCTGAGATGGACGAGTAGGGCCCGCTGTTTGGAGAGCGTGAGGGCTCACGGGTTCGGTAGAAGCGCCTTGCTGTGTGTGGCCAGATCATGACAAAAAGTGGAGAGCAGTACACAGAAGAAATCACAGTACCAAGAGCACCCCGAAGCAACTGCTCTTCTCAATCTTGTGCCAGGTTGCAGAACTCTTGAGTCGGAATTGTGCCGCCGATTTAGTAGGTTGCACTGTCTTGCCTGCTGCCCACACTGACACATCTCTGTCGGGGCAGGCTTGCTCACTGCTAACGTCAATGTACACTCCTGTCCCAAAGTGGACGATGCTGAAAGGAGCAGACAAAGACACTGACAGCTTGAGCGCTGGGTTCCCATGGTAGCATTCTGCACCCACCAGCAAGGCTTCCCATCCTGCTGAGTAAATCTGTAGATTTGTTGGGCTTAGACACGACCCCTCCTGATCGATTCCTGTTCTGGTGGCGGAATAGTCTGAACAAGGAAGTAGTCTCGGCACATCTTCATGTTGCTGTGGCACTGCAGCTTCCCCCACTCAACAACCAGGACAATCATGGGGTACGGTGCACAGAATGACCTTCGTGCTGACAATCGGGCTATCATTCTCGTGCCTCCTAGGCCTTGGCATCACGGCAGCTCAGCAGGTGCCCTTGTCGAGCAAGTCGAGCAGATTGATCCTGGCAGAGGAGCTCGTCATGCCACTGCTGGGGCTGAGCCCAACAACGACAGCAACTGCAAGCACCGCAGGATTTAACATTTCAAGCCTGGTGGCTTTCGTGCAGGCTGGAGGCAGGTATGTCAATGTACGGAGCAGCAGCAGCCACCGGAATTTGCAGGAGATGGCCTGGGTGCTTGAAGAGGCAGGAGTGACCCTGTCGGAGCTCTTTGTAAGTTTGCACATCGATTCAACTGACTTGAGCTACACTGCTACGATCCTCGCAGTGGAGCGGATCTTGCATTCCTTGCGTTTGTCGAAGTTGGATCTGGTCCTCGTCGGCCCCGGAGAGGCTGGCGTCAGCGAAGAGGCCCGGGAGCTCCTCGCCGGAAGTTTGGCGGCCGTGGAAGATCTGCGGATGCGCGGTCAAGTCGTCGCTTCGCCGGGTGCCTTTGATTGGCCGTTGGATCAGATGCAGAGACTCTTGCCACTGATCCCTGAGCCCTTGGCTGCGATGCACCTGACCTTTGACAGCTTCGCAGGCAGCCACATGCCCTCTTTAAAGCTGTGTTTGATGAGGGGAGTGCCGGTCATTCTCAGCGGCTTTGTGGAGCAGCCGGGCCGACTTGTTTTCCCGATGTTCCTCAGCGAAAAGAACTCCCAGGCTGCACGGCAAGGTTTCGCGCAGCGGCTGGCCGTCCTTGCGACTGCCGAGTGGCTGAGAAGTAAGGGTGTGGCGGTGCTGGTGCCAGGCAACTTCAACTCCGCACAGCTGGTCGATATGATTCGGACAGTGGCGCACGGCGCGTCCGAACAGAAAGTCTTTTTGGACGAGGCTTTGCAACAGCACCTCGACCTGAACTTCTGGCCCGGAGATCTTCCGAGGATGTATACTATACATTTCAAGCCTGGGGCAACTTGCACTGCAAATCTGGAGGTCATGAGCGCCAGGGAATGTGGCCTTGCCATGCAAGAACTGGATAAGCCGGGCGATGTGGTTACTTCGGGGGCTGTGGCCCGCGGGTGCACCTTGTATTTTCATGATAAATGCTCAGCCATCGAGTGCGCAGAGGCACAGTTCCGAGCTGAGGGCCCTGCAAGCGATTTTGGAACGCGGTCGGTGCCAGTGTGCCAACTCGACGCAGCTGAACCTCCGGAGCAGGGGAGAACCCTGTTTCTGTCAATGTGTATGGGTACCGAATACTTTGACAAGTTTTGCGCACCCTTTCTTGGGTCTTATCGGATGGTGTATGGAGGCTTTCCCAGTGGGTGGCATAGCATGAGAGTGTGGACGATCGATGTGAACGCCTCCCAACTAAACCGTGCAAAGGCTTTGTTTGCCGGCGTGCATTTTGAAGAAAGTAGCTTCGAAGTGCTTTACCGACGCCTTGTGGACGAACTTGCTGACGGTACGGGCTTCAAAGACTTCCTGAGGGAGGACCGAGACAGGACTGACGACAGCAGGACAGGCTGCTTTGAGTGCCAAGTCGGTTCGACAGAGTTTTGCGATTGCGATCCTCGTGTACACGACGAGAAGGTCATGTTGAACAATATCTTCTTTCTTGAATGGGTTCTGTCGCAGGTCAAGCAAACGGAGGGCCTGGGTTATCAGTATGTTGTTGTCATCGATTCGGACATGCTGTTTGCGCAGCAGCTAGCCAGATTTCTCCCTCGGGAGCCTGCAGCCGAGTGGGAGTATGCTTTCACATTTTACGACCGGCAGCACCGAGTTCCGTGGGGAAGCAATGAGGAAGTTGCCAAGACAAGGAATGCACATGTGCGCATCAACTCCGGCGTCCAGATCTTCAGATACACAGAGGGCGTCAAAGCCTTTCTGAACACTCTCCTCAGGGTTACACTTGCTGCGGTGGATTCCGGACATGCACATTCCGAAACGGACTTGCCGAAAGAAGTCCTCCGTGAATTCAAAGCTCCAGGTCAGGCTGCAATTGCTTGGATTGTTGGCCTGCAGAATTTGCTGTTCGAGGACTGCTTAGTTTGCTGGCCCGAAATCACATCTGTTGGGATCGAGGTGTCACAAGATGAAAAAATGGCATTGAAGATACAAGGCCTGCCTGCTCGATTCCTGAATCAGGCTGAGTCAGTCGAACAGGGTATTCTGGGACCTGACACACATATGGTCCATCTGAAGGGTCTCTGGTGGCGCCTACTCCTGCTAAATGGCACTGCTCATTCCACTGCAACTCGATGCCTGGGCTGGAACTCTGGTGCATATCAGCTCTGGGCGACTCTTTACCTGGCATGGCAGCCACAGCATGTTGTAAGTGCCCACGTGCGTCGGGGCCAGGGAGACTTCTGCCCAGACCCGTCCGAATGGATGATCGGCCTGTAGGTTCGCTCGAGGTCACCGACACTGCATGGAAGCAAGCTTGAATCCCACATGGCCTTGAGGAAGAGTGATTCATGCTGGAAGCAGCCAGCGAGCTCGACTTGGGGCCTGCTGTCAGTGTTGCTGAGAGTCTCAGTCCCCAAAGTCGTCGGCGCTTCGAAGAGGCCCTCGCTGCGCAGCAGCTGGCCAGACAGAGCCACCGATGCCGACGGGTTATTCCGAACAGTCATTGGAGTTGAGTTCCAGCGGCAATCGCACTGCACTGCGGGGTCTTGCAGGCTCTTTCTCGCCCAGTCTGGGCCGTGATGAATCTATTGCCAGGTTTGGTGGCTTCTGACCGGAACTGGGCCATGACAAATCGAACTGCTGCGTCTGGCTGCATGTTTATTGACTCAATCCGCCCACTGTTGACCGCAACAACTCGTACTGCCAGGTCTTGATGCTTCTAGTAACAGTATGACCTTATGATGAAATGTACTGCTGGGTTTTCGTGGTTCGGTTTGATCTAACTTGGGCCTTAAAAGATCGTCGCACCGGGTCGGATGGTTCTTTTTAGTCTTGGTTTTGGCCCTGAAAACGGTCCTGCCGGCTTGGGGTAGCTTTTTCTGCCGTGATTCCTTTTAAATCGTACTGCCTGGATTTATGTAGTAAGTCTGTGTCCTTCATGCTCGGTTATGGTAAATCGGATTGCTTGGTTTCAGTGGTTCTGTCTGACATTGTTTGGCTGTAATAGTTAGTAAGTATGGAGTAACTTAATCGGCTTATCGCGATTCCTTCTGATCGAATCTAGGCCGTAGAATGAAATAATTCCCAAACAGCCTGGCAACACTTTAGGTAGGTAGGTAGGTAGGTAGGTAGGTAGGCAGGTAGGCAGGGAGGGAGGTAGGTAGGTAGGTAGGTAGGTAGGTAGGGGTCGACCCACGGTAGTTACCGCGGTCACCTCACTCTTCCCCCTCCGTATCTCAGGGCGGCCTCCGGAAACGTCATGGGCCCCCTCCACGAAAGGTTCAAGAGGGGTTGCAGGAAAAAATGCAGCCAAGCATCTGGAAACTATTTGGGGCGGTTGTAAGCCACATGGCGACGGACAGTTACGTGGAAAGAGTGCTAGGCATGGAAAGTGCAACGAGTGGCATGGCCTACCACAGTGCGGAGCAGCGGTCTTTTTCTTTTAGCGTGGGATGGGGCAGAGGTCGCCTTCGTCAAAGTAGGCGCGGCCTTCTACGCATAAGGCTCTGGATGCACGGCCGATGACTGCATGTGCACGGCTGGCATCGGCCGCAGGCACCCGAAGCTGCAGCGCTTGCAGAAGGGAATCCATGCTGCACCGTCCATGGGTGCGGATGTGAGAGAGGAGCCATTTGCGCACTCGGCGCAGGCGGAGCTCTGGGACAGGTTGCCTCGGAGCCAGCCGCGGGGATGCAGCTCTCCGCCAGACCGCGCATGTGGGTGAGCAGGGCTTCAGGGAGTGGGGACATGCGGCGGCGCCTAGGGCACCTACCCAGGCTGTGGGCGTAGGTTGTCCAGCAGTCAGGGCATAAGGAAAGCGGTG